GCAGGACCCTCAAAAAGCGGGAAACCAAAAATTTGAAATTTGGGGGCCGGGGGGGCCCTTCGCCCCAAAGGCCTTTCCCCCCAAAATAAACCCTTTGGTCCGGATTAAATGGGACTCGAACCGAACGTGTGACCTCACCAATGGATTGCTCTCCGAAGGAGGAATCCATTGGTGGGGCCACACCAGGTCACACGTTCGGGATTTTGGGCGCCTGCACTGCACGGCGGGGCGGCCGCCCTGCCTGCTTGCGGCGAGTGCCGCTAGATGGCGCTGCGGGTTGCGGCGCGCCGTTGCCTCGCGTTCGCCGGTACGGCGCCGCTGCATACGAGTGAGCCCGCCGCCCTGTCTTCATCGCGTCGGAGTCTCTTATTTCACTGCAATCGAACGATCTGATGCAATATCTCCCCTAATATCGTTGAAATTTCGATGGTGCCGGAGATGGAACCCGGCACCGGCCTGGGTCAATGGTTTCCCCAGCTCGGCGAACCACATTGGACTTCAGATCAGTCCCCGGAACGAGATAGAAAAATAGGAAAGCAGTGTAGGTATCAACCTGCGCGCAATTCAAATGAAAAAGGTAACAAGAGTACCGCTCTTTCCGTTGAAACGCAATCTAAAAAAAACAAAACAAATACTACATCGCTTTCGTCTTGGCCCGCGCAACGCACCCAAGGGGACAAAACGCTATAAAGAGGAATCGAAAAGAGAGGGTTGGCGTGAAAACTGTCCCCGCGACGCGCTGCGACGCACTGCGACCCCCAAAAAGACCTCAAAAAGGACTCCAAAAAGGAGGCCCTATAAAATGGGCTGTCATAAACGCTGCTCTTTGGCCTGCCTGGTGCCTGCCTCCAGCATCAAGGTCGCTATCAAGAAAGGAGGAGGGGAAAAGGGGGGGGGGAGTTGGGTTTGGCAAAGACTTTCTCCGTGGTGCACTGTGTTGCACTCGGCCCGCGGCACTGCACCGCAAAGCTAATGATCTCCAGCGAGGCTCGTCAAGGCGACAGGCATTGTCACCGGAGAGAGAGATTTCTGACCTGCATCGGCTGGCCAGGGCCCCCCCCCCCCCCCCCCCCCCCCCCCCCCGTCCCCCGGGGGCCACTTTGGCAGGCCTGTGTGTGCAAACACATAACGGTACGACAACCCTTCAGCGAGCCTTCGGGGCTTCGCCGGGCTTCGGGGCAAGCTGGCCGCCAGTACACCGAAACCCCGCCGGAATTCCTCGACGGCACGACCCGTTTTTCTCCCGCAAAAAATAGCCGGTGGCCAAATATCTAGACGCGTTTTGAGCTCCAGAGTCGCTAAACAGGGCTCGAACTGAACGTGTGACCCCACCAATGGATTGCTCTCCGAACGAGGAATCCATTGGTGGGGTCACACGCTCGGTTCGAGTCCTGTTTAGCGACTCTGGAGCTCAAAACGCGTCCGGGACTTTGACCGCCTCCCTGAAGACACCCCAGCCCTCGCGCTTTACGGCCATGCCCTTTACGAGGGCAGCTGGCAGGGTTGTGCAGCCCTTCGGGCCCTTCTCCAACATGTGTTGCCCTTGTTTTTGTCTTCTGCTGTTGTTGTTGGTTCAATTTGGTGAGTACCACGAGACCAGGCGGTTAATTACCGAGTGTACATCACGCCCGCGTCGCTCTGTCCCTCTCGCACCTACACGGGACGCCCTATGAGTGCGAGAGAGACAGAGCGACGAAAACGACTCTCGGAATCATCTGCAGGTCGACATTCCTCAGCTGGGCAAACATCTTGGCCTGCAATCCGCTGCAATTTTTATTTTTACTGTGGTATTAATTTTCTGGGCAACGACATTGCCCCCATAAAGCCTGTGGTCCTGTGCGTGTCGCCGACGTCGCCGACCTCTACAAGCAGGCCCTGTTTATGGCCGGCGTGTCACTAACAGTGCAGGCGAAGCGCTTTCGCCGCCGCAATCCCAACTAAACTGCAGATCGGTGCATCCACTGCACCCTGTGTGCATTCCGACAAAAAAAAGAAGGAAGCGCGGGCATTTTCGAAGGAGAAAAACAAGACGGTAACGCAACCCGCGCTGCGGGCTTCCTTGACAAGTACTGCTACATTTCGGTGGAAAAATGAGGACCCCCGCCGTACACTGCAACGCGTACCGGGAACCTGCCTTGGCTTTCTTTTTATCAATACCCCTAACTGGACTGTAGAAAACAGGCCGGCGTTTTTTTTTTTTTTTGGCTGCCCACACTTTTACCGGAAAAAATGAATGAAACGGTATGTGAGGGTCGATGAACTACCAGCCATCACCCTTTGGCAAAGTGTACCAGCTTTTTTTAGTTTACTTCCAAAACCTTCCACGTGATCCCTCCTCCGTCTTTCTATTACCACCATCAATCGTACCTGAATAGAGATTTCAAAGAAGACTTTGTAGTTGATAAAATTTCAGATTTTCTTGTGTCGGAAGCAGAGAATGACTTTGCTATGTTGCGTCGGAACACGTCGGAACTGTTTCCCGCGCGAGTGGGCCGACAAGAGCAACACAAAAAGCAACAACTTGGCGCGAAAACCCCAACGCGGCGTGGCGGCGTTCCGAGTGTGGATTGTGTCCGAAATTCCACGCCAGCTGGAAAAGTGTACCAGCCCTTCCGCCTGCCGCGGCCGCGGGGCGCGAATGGGTTGGAGGCGGGGGCAGCAGTTTGGGGCATTATGTGGCAGCAGAAAAGGTAATCCGTGCAAATTAATGGTGGAGGGGCCGACCGTGCCGCGTCCGCCGCGTCCCGAGTGTACAGTGTGGGGCCGTGTTGTAAAGTTTGAAACCGCCACGCTCTGCTCGTCGCTGTCAAACCTAACGGGCAGCGCACAGTGTGCCAGCGCCGGCCTTGGCGGACTAGTTCGTCCTCACCTGAATTTTTCATCCGTTTTTTCATCCGCCACACTCGTCCATGCCGAAATCACCCCGGCCCCGGCGGGACTCGAACCCGCCACCCTCGCCGCGGCGTCACGCGCCCGGAGCCCCGTTGGCCCCGGTGCGTTGGCGGCCTTGGCAGGCCCCTCACGTGCACGCGTTGCCGCGTTCTCTCCGCACGCCTGCCGCAGGACTTCCGCAAGATTTCCCCGCGACAGGACGGGCCTCGTCGGAAAATCTTTCTCGGGAAATGTTTCTCGCGAGTGGCGGAACGCCGCTGTGGAATGGCTAAGCAGGGCGGCGTCCGGGGCGCCCCGGGGCCGGCGGCACGCGGCGGCATGGACGCACCGCGGCCACGACGCGGACCTCTCGGACGCGGCCGCCGTCCGCGGGACGCTTTTATTATGACTTGTTTATTCGCTGTTGCTAACCCACTTTGTGGACGCTGCGGTCCTCCGCGAGGACGGCGATGGCGGCCGAGGCTCGGCACCTGCTGCGAGGCTACCGCCAGGCCTGCCCGGCGACGGTGATCAGTGTTATGGGGTGTCTGGTACCGGTGGTGTTGCCAAGTCCGCAAGACAGAGGGCCCCACAGACCGCGCTCCCCGACAGCACACTGGATGGGCCACTTTGGCCGCCGAGAGAATTGTGTCGACAACCCCTTGGGCACCAGCCCATGCACCAGCATTACCCAATTTCGTAATTTTTCTAGCAGTGTGTTTTTGAATTTTTTGATGGTGTTCAAATTTGACTCACGGTTGTCGTAAGAAAATTTTTCCAGTTTTTTTTCCTTTCTTTGGTTTGTAGGAAAAAAGAAAAAGAAAGTCCTATGTGTAAAGTTTCTGTACTAATTTTATTTTTACAGTACTCTCATAACTATGATAATAAAATGATATTTTATATAATCTTTGGATATCACAATTTGTTTGGGGCGAATGCTACAGAATAGACATGCGTCCACGGTAAAGATAACATCAAATTTTGGGCTCATCTTAGTAGAAAAATAACTACGCAAGGTCAATTTTTTTACACGAAGAAGCAAAACAATTCTCCATAGGAAGAGTGAAAGCTTTCTGGAATGGGTGACTTAGACTATGAGTTTGATACGGTATTAAGTGCGGTACATAAAATTTCAGTGGTTAAATGTAGACATATGATCTACAAATTTCACTCAAGATATGACAGTACATTAATTGGTACAAATACAGGATCCATCACATCTAATTCAGTACAAAGCTAATTTATGACCGAATCCTTTAATTTTGAAGGAATACTACAACGCTGGGGAATCCAACTGGCATGGACGATAAAAAAAACTATGACGAGCCACTCTACATAACTCCCTTGATGTTGGGCATATAATTATTTGATTTACAGTGTTTGTGCATCTTTGCTACTTCTCCTCATATACACTATGTACATTCTGATATATACAAATGTAGGTACACAGTATCATTGCCACGTCGAAGCAGGCAGTCTTTGGAATAGAGGGAGGGGTGGTTAACTTTAGGGGCACCGGGCGCCCCGACCGACACTTCACCGAAACTTCGAAACGGCCTTGCAAAGAGAGGATCACAGCCAGGACGAGTACAAACTAGTTTTGTAACACACAGAGCCGGTTTCGAAGGTTCGCGCCAGCCGCCCACGCTGTTAAAGCTACGTCTTACAATACAAGATATGAGACACAGTGGGCTGCCGCCAAAATGAGTTGATTGGGCGATGGGGTTGGACCGCGGTGCGAGAGGGAGGGCGACAGAGTCCTAGTACGGCCTCCAGACGTGCTTGTGCTGCTGGTGCGACGGCCGGATGACGGGGCTCTTGTGGCACTCCGTGGAGCCGATGACGGCGGCGGGCGACCGCTCGTTCGTCGGCGTCCTCGGCCTCTTGGGGCTGGTGGCGGTGGCGGTGGGCAGGGGCAGCGCGCGGCCGGCCGGCGACGCGGGGGACGGCGGCGTGGTGAGTGCGACGGGCACGTGCAGCCCGGCGGGGCGAACCTGCTGGAAGGCGGACTTGACGACGTCGATCACCTCCTCGGCGTCCGAGCTCCCCGAGTCGCTGTGGTTGCTGTTGCTGTCGCCGCTGCGGTGCGACGACGGTGAGGCGCGCCGCCGCCGCGGTGGCGGTGACGACGACGTCGGCGACGACGTCCTGTCCGGCGTGGCGGGCGTGGCCACCACCAGGCCGAGCGGCGACGGGTGCGCCGGCAGGGACGCCGACGAGAAGGCCGAGTGCGGCGACTTGTGCAGCGAGGACGCCGCCAGCAGGTCCGCGGGGGCGGCGTGGGGCGGCGCGTGCGGGGGCAGCGTCGGGTACCCCAGGCCGGGCAGGTAGGCGCCGGGGGCGGCGCCGTAGGGGAGGCCGGCCGGGGGCAGGCCGGGGTAGAAGTCCGCGGGCAGGGCGGGGTCACCTGGAACAAGGGGGAGCGGCACGTTAGACACATTTCAAGCGCACTGCACGCACATCCTCCACAAAAACTGAAAATCAATCGACTAAAATTCAGTTGGTTTCCTAAGTAAAGTCCTGTTGACAGCGAATTTTTCCGAGTGGCTCCGTTTTTGGAAAGGAGGGGTTGGGGAGGGGAGGGGGAGGGACTGATACGTCAAAGCTGATCTGCGCTTTTAGACAGAAGCGATCCGAGAGTGGCATTTTGGTCTGCTAACGGAATGTCCGCAGCCAAGCCAGCAGAGCTAGAAAGGGAAGCTGAGGCTCACCGGTTTTCTCGAGCCAACTTCGCGCTCATAAAGGTAGCAAAACAACGGGGGGGGAGAGAGAGAGAGAGAGAGAGAGAGAGAGAGAGAGAGAGAGAGAGAGAGAGAAGGAAAAAAAAGGTTGGCTGTATTGGAGAAAACTTTAGCGAGCCGTGCTTTCATCCCCGCGGAAAGAGGTGGGTACACTACAAAGGGGTTTCTCCTGTGCGAGTCCGGCCGAGTCGGGAATGCCTTTGCAGTCCGACTTCCGCGCTCCGGCCGCGCCGATTGTCAACAGCCAGAGCTTCCAAACGCGCTTTTCGATGGAGCAAAGCGCCACAAGCCGAAAATATGCCGTCGGAAAAAAATGTGCGAAAACCGTGTTTGACGACCCGGCGGCGGGCGGTGGCGGGTAACCCCGCCGCCGGGTGACCGCATACCTCGAGGCATACCAACCGCGCGAAACAAGGAAGCACGTGCAAAATCGCGCGCCGGACCTCTTTTTTCGCCTTTTTTTTCCCCTCTTTGCACCTGAATATCCAGCCCCGCTTGGCCGCTCACAGACGAGACGCGCGGCGCGGGCAGAACGCGCAGAGCGGCGCACAGCCCGCGCCCGACTCGGACCGCTGCGAAACTTTGCCTCAATTTCTCTCCCGCCTTTCATTTCGAGAGCGGCCGCACTTTTGAACCTGCATTTTTGCCCCAGAGCACCTCACTTGTGTGTGTGAGTGTGTGTGTGTGTGTGTGAGGAGAGAGAGAGATAGAGTGAGAGAGAGAGAGAGAGAGAGAGAGAGAGAGAGAGAGAGAGAGAGAGAGAGAGAGAGAGAGCGAGAGACGAGAGAGGGAGAGAGAGAGAAAGGGGGTGAGTGTATTACCTGCGCGGGGCCCGTCTTTGAATCGGCGTCACCGGTCGAAAAAAAGGGGCGTCTGCTTACGGACGTCCCCTCACACGAGTGCGAGAGAGACGGACGCACTCATTACGCGACGACCCCCGGACGCGTCGAGGGACACCCTGTGACAGGAGGGTGGTGGTGGCGCTGGGCGCGCTGGGGTAGCAACCCCAGTGGGCCAGCGGGTCTCCGAGACGCCCCCACCCCGCCCCGCCCCGCCCCGCCCCGCCCCGCCTCGCCCCGCGCCACAGCTGCCGCTCCATCATTTTCTCTGAGCGTGTGCTGGGAACTGCGGATCCGTCTGCGACCGCGTGGCTCGCGGGGTGAGAGAGAGAGAGAGAGAGAGAGAGAGAGAGAGAGAGAGAGAGAGAGAGAGAGAGAGAGAGAGAGAGAGAGAGAGAGAGAGAGAGCGGGGTGGCGAGTGCGGGAGGGGGAGGCCAAAGTACGCGAAAGGCACACCGGGCGACCAGCACGGTCCAACCTTTCCCCGCAGCGACTTATAAAGTGGGTTTGTATCGAACCGCGGTGGACCCAGCAGCAGCGGGGCGGGCTGCGGCTGGACGGACAGACCGAGCAGGCAGACAGACATGCAAACAAACAGACAGACAGTCCGCGGATCGAGGTTGCGCGCGGTCGCATTGAAAGACAAGCGGCGGAATCTCAAGAGCGATCCAAAGTGGGTTGTCGTTGTGCAAGACGGCGGCCAGGACGTCGCACAGTGGGCCAGAAGACCGATGGAGGCGGCCAAAGCTCTAGACGCGTTTTGAGCTCCAGAGTCGCTGTACAGGACTCGAACCGAACGTGTGACCCCACCAATGGATTCCTCGTTCAGAGAGCAATCCATTGGTGGGGTCACACGTTCGGTTCGAGTCCCGTTTGGCGACTCTGGAGCTCAAAACGCGTCTGGAGTTTTGGCCGCCTCCACCGGTCTTCTGGCCCACTGTGCGACGACGGCCGCCACCCTTATTGGCCCCCTTGAGGGCCGAGGGCAGCCCAGGGCCGGAGGGCCTCCTTGACGGAGAGAGTCATTCAATTTGCATGTCAGGTCAGCGCGGCTCGCCGGGGCACTGTCGGGGCACTGCCGGGGCACTGCCGACGAGACAGACAACGACGGGGCCAAAAATGGGGATCAAATTGGAGCTGACGCTCTGGGCTCGGCCTTGCCGGAAAGCAGTGTGGTGCTCGCCAAAGTGACTGCCCTGCCCGCCGACCGCACTCTGTCTCTCTCTCTCGCACTCGGTGGGGCCCGCGGGGGCGCGAGAGAGACAGAGCGACCAAACGACTCGGAATCCATAACGGGCCGTGAATGATTAAGGGTCAATCGTGCGACGGGCGTGGCGCGGCGCGGCGGGCCGGCAGTACTCCTCGTGTAAAACCATGGGAAAAAGGAAAGCACGGCGAAGCCAAAACGAAAAAGAGGGGAGATATTGACACAAATGGGCAGCGAAGGTAATAGGAGCACGACGGCACCGCGACCGGGCAGCCCAGGCCAGCCAGGCCGAGGGGTGGGGGCAAAATGACAATATTTTCACCCTTGTCAGGTCGCGTTGACACGCCGACCCTCGCCAGCCGCGTCGCGCCGCGTCGCCAGCCTCCCCGGCCGGGTCGGCCAATATATACGCCGGGTGTAAACATCCGTTAATAATTTCTCAGATTGGAGGCTGACGGGATAATTCGCCGAGAAAAGAACAGTGCAAGGCGACACGCGGCCGTGACACCCAAGAAATAAAAAAAGGAGTCGGCACCGGTCGGGCGTTGAACCCGCGTCGCGGAGATTCGCAACGGGCGGCGCAGACCGCGCGGCTACCGCGTTGGGAGGGATTTGGCGGTGCGGGTAGCGGTGGCTTTGTTGGGGCCGGACTAGCGGTCAGCGCGGTCTGGGCGACGAGGTGTCGGCAGTCCACACACACAGCCGCTTCGGCCTAACAGCAGCCAGCCTCGACCACAGCCCCGCAGGCATGCAGGGGGCGCATAGCACGACGGTAGGCCAAGGCGACACCACCGCCACACAGTGGGCCAGACGACCGGCGGAGGCGGCCGAAACTGTTGACGCGTTTTGAGCTCCAGAGTCGCTATAAATGGGACTCGAACCGAACGTGTGACCCCGCCAATGAATTCCTCGTTCGGAGAGCAATCCATTGGTGGGGTCACACGTTCGGTTCGAGTCCCATTTACCGACTCTGGAGCTCAATACGCGTCCGGAGGCCCACTGTCAACACGACACGGAATCGAGGTATGGAGATCGGGATATCGGTCCTCACCTTTGACGGGGCACAGCCCCGGGATCTTGCACAGCGGGTCCTGCGACGGTGGCGCCTGCTGCGGCAGCTGCGGCGGCCGCCGGAAGTAGTCGGGCCAGGCGTAGCTGAGGTAGGCGGCGTCCAGCCACTGCGGCGGGAACATGCTCGCCAGCGAGCCGAAGCCGGGGTGCCCGGGCATGAAGTGGAAGTCTGCAAGCAGAGGGCAAGAGTCAGAGAAACAGTGCTGGCAACCTTTCCCCAGCGCCGGTGCGGTGTGCCATTTCTTTCACCCCTAATTGTTTATCTCATTGTCTACCGGGACGTCCGTGGGCCTCGCGCCTGCCACCCGCTCACATTCTTTTGTGTGCACGGCCCCTGGCGTGGCGGGGCGGGGCGGGGCGCGGGGCGGGGCGGGGCGGGGCGGGGCGGGGCGGGGCGGGGCGGGGCGCGCTGAGGGTCGTCCGGGACTGACCGCCAGAGAGTTACAACCCCTTTTTCCACCCCCTGTTCTGTTTTACATCCCCTCGGTGCGGTCTAACCTCCTCGCTCTCTCTCTTTCTCTCTCTCTCTCTCTCTCTCTCTCTCTCTCTCTCTCTCTCTCTCTCTCTCTCTCTCTCTCTCAATCTGTCTCGCTCCGGCCGACCCACATCGCACCCCTGCGGCCCCTTTCACCCGCTCATTTTTCCCTTCTCTGAAAAGAGCGGAGCTCTCTCGCCGAACAAGGAGTAATGCGTGTGCAGTCGCTACCCCAGAGGGGCTCCGAAAGGGCGGAGTTTGAACACCTCCCGGGGGCCGCCACTCCACCGCAGTCACCCACAACGGGCTCCAGCGTTCAACTCCCCGCCGCCTGGCCCGTGGCTGTCAGTCTGACCACGTTAGTCTGTCTGTCTGTCTGTGTGACTGTCTGACTTTCTGTCTGTCTGACTGACTGTCTGTCTGTCTGTCTGTCTGTCTGTCTGTCTGTCTGTCTGTCTGTCTGTCTGTCTGTCTGTTCGTCCGTCCGTCCGGCGAGTGGGTAGCCTCGACGGTTAGTTTACAGCCGCTCTAATTCGCAAGGGCGGATCAAAGTGTTGTAAACAAAGTAAACGGGCAGCGTAAACCCCGGGCTGAGCCGCAGATGCCAAAAGTCTGGCCCAAAGGCTGGCCAAAGGCGACCGAGGCGGTGGTATTTGAACCCGGGCCCGCTTCCGCGCGTCATGGCAGAGCCACCTGACGCCAGCGCGACACCCGAGGGGTGAGAGACGGGGGTGGGGAAGCCAGCACCCGGTTGCGGTGTTCATGAGGGCTGGCTGGCTGCCTGGCTGGCTGCCTGGGGCGCACATTGCCCCGAAACAAGATTTTCACACCACTTCATAGCAGCAGATTACGGGGATCAAAGAGTGCGAGAGAGAGCGCGCTGCGCGCGGCGCTTTTGAGAGCCACCATGGCGTACCACAGACACCGGACGGGGGCCGGGGGCGGCGGGGGCCACGGCCACAGTGCACCACATGGCGCCGCAGAGCCCCGTATCTCGACGTACCCCCGGCAACGCCAAGGCCAGTTGCGGGACTTCAGCCACGGCAGTGTAAGCGTGTTTGTTTACCGTTTTAGCCATTTTATGATTGGGTGCCGGCCGCATGCCGCATCCCGCCCCGCCCCGCCGTCGGCCAGCTTGAGGGCCTTGGTGTTGAACATGTTGGGTGCGCGGCGCGACGCGGCGCCGTGGTATGGTCAACACCAGCAACCGGGCGGGCCGGCGGGGCTGGCGGGGCTGGCGGCGGCACCGCGGCAGCCCTTGTGGTCGACGGCGGCCTCGGGGGCGGCGGGGGCCTCCCTTCCGGATATTCTCGACCGCTTCCCCTCCCCGAAGACGCGCGCACGCACACATGCCTTTCCTGCTTGCTTACATCAACCAAAGCATGTTTAGTCGAAAATGTTGGCGTTTTGATAATTTTTGATAATTTTCTAGGCATTGTGTGTGTGCTTTGCAGTGCAGCCGCTGAGGACGAATCGTCAGCCCAAAGCCAGCCACCAGCCGAGCGTGTGTCTCTCTCGCACCCACGCGCGCGACAGCGGCAGAGCGACAGAGACAGCCTGCAGGCCGCGGGCGGTGCCCCCTCGGCGTCGCCGGCGTCGTCGCAACGACCGGGTTATGACATTCGTCGTTTGCCAGTGTGTCTGACGAGGAAGCCGAGGCCGCCGACGTCACGTACAGTGGAGCGTGCCCGCGGCGCGCCGCGGCGGATGACGTGCTGCTGCACTGCGAAACACAGCGGGCCAGAAGGCCGGTGGAGGCGGACAAAACTCTAGACGCGTTTTGAGCTCGAGATTCGCTAAACAGGACTCGAACCGAACGTGTGACCCCGCCAATGGATTCCTCGTTCGGAGAGCAATCCATTGGTGGGGTCACACGTTCAGTTCGAGCACCACTTAGCGACTCTGGAGCTCAAAACGCGTCTAGAGTTTCGGCCGCCTCCACCGGTCTTCTGGCCCACTGTGCGCCGCGCGCACGCGGGAGGCCCAGATGATGCACTATTAGAACGGCGTACACTGCAAGCACACGCGCGGTGGTGGGGGAAAGCGTGGAGACTGAACGGTCGGCCTCCGCGAGGAGACAATGGGATTTGTTAGGTTGGACAGAGAGAGGGCGAGGGAAAGGGGAAAAAAATAGATCGGCCGCTCAAAGCATCGCTCTCTCTCGCCCGCCCGGGGCCCGCCCCTACACCGCAGCACAGCGCCCCGCCAACTTTGTTTCCCGGGCAATCGTTTCGTGGAGCTTTTGCGGTCGCTGTTGTGTGCCCTCTGTTCCCCAACCGTGGGCTGGGCCCAAGACAGGGCGGAAAGAAATACTGGGGAGGCTAGTACCAGGCGGCCGAAACTCTAGACACGTTTTGAGCTCCAGAGTCGCTAAACGGGACTCGGACCTAACGTGTGACCCCGCCAATGGATTCCTCGTTCGGAGAGCAATCCATTGGTGGGGTCACACGTTCGGTCCGAGTCCCATTCAGCGACTCTGCAGCTCAAAACGCGTCTGGAGTTTTGCCCGCCTCCACCGGTCCTCTGGCAAATGCGGTACTTACTCGACTTGGATCTGGGCTCCCGCGGGCCGTCCACCGTCACCTTGATGGCCTTCATGTAGGTGGCCACCTGGAACGGTGACGAGTTGATGACGATGGTCAGCGAGAAGCTCTTCCCTGAGGACAGAACACACGGCAGTCAGACACCTGGGGCGAGGGGGCAGCCAAGCGGAATCTGTGCGGAAAATGTGTAGCGAAACATGACTTGTTGAGCGGGGCGCGGTGGGGCGCGGCGGGGCGGGGCGGGTAACCGCCGGCTCGCCACTACGGTTGGCGTGACGTGAGAACGCCCCCGCCGCGCCCCTACACGAGCACTGTCTTCACTAATGAAGGGGAACAGGGCGCCGGAAATGGCCGGTTCGCCTTTTGTTTCGCGCGCGTGACAGGCCGGCCTGCAAAACAACTGAAAATGCGCGGGAAAAAAGCCCCGCTGACGGTGGGGATCGAACCCGCCACATCGGCGTGCATCATCCGCACGCTAACCGCTCGGCCATCGAGACAAAGAACGACGACCAGTGCGAAAGGGTCACCCTCGGCGGAATGGCTGGGGTGTTCTTATCGCGCGGTCACCTGGTTGTTGTTGGTTTTCGAGTGGCGCGGCGGCCTGGCCAGCCTCATTGAGTTATTCTCCGGAATGGGGTCATAAGGCAGCAAGGGGAAACGGCCGATGGCTTCGCAAAATAAATACATGACGGTGGAGCCATTTTTTTCTGGCCTTTGTTTTGTTTCTGCATATCTCTCTCTCTCTCTCTCTCTCTCTCTCTCTCTCTCTCTCTCTTTTTTTTTCGCCCGTTCGGCGCGCTAAAGTCCGATATCACACCCAACCGATGTGCGACCCGGAGCGGAGCCGGCCCGCGGTCAGACCGTTTTTTTTTCTTTCGGCGTTTTCTGCTCGCGGAGCCGGCTTAATAATCTGTGACAGCTTTTTTCCGTTTTTTTTTTCGCAGTACGTACCGCCACCCTGCGAACCCTGAACTCCCTCGTTCTCCGCCGCCCTTCTCTCTCTCTCTCTCTCTCTCTCTCTCTCTCTCTCTCTCTCTCTCTCTCTCTCTCTCTCTCTCTCTCTCTCTCTCTGTGTCCCTCACACACATAAACACACACACACACGTCGCTTCAATATATTGGGACTTCCATGGTGTCCCAATAAGTGGCTCAAATGGCTCTCTGAATTGATTCGCTGGAGTCACGTGACTCAAAATTCAGACGCAAATTTCGGTTTGCAAACGGGGGCGAAACCACGTCGGTACGTTCCTCAACCGATGCGTCAAGTTAAAAACTAGATAAGTGTTTCGACCCGCGCCGCTCGGCGCGGAAAAAGCAGCGCGAGTCCAGCCAGCAACTCCGATGCCACCCCGCGCCACCCCTAGCACTCCTAGGGGTAGTGATTCATCCTGATTCGTCATAACGCTGGGGTGCGCCCACCCCACCCCCACCCCACCCCACCCCACCCCACCCCGCCCCGCCCACACAGTCTAGCCGCACCGGTCCCTTCCCTCCGGATAGGAAGGCGAACATGATCTATTTTCACCCGGCAGTGCCCCGGCCCCGCTTAGCCCCGCCATGGCCGCGCCGCCGGAGGGTCCAGTCGTCACCGCCTACAAAATACAACCCCCAAACGGCACTCACGGAAATGAGAGTCCGAATTGGCTCACTTCTTTTTTTTGCAGCCCGTTTCAAATAAGGCGAAAATTGGTCCGGACGCGCCACCAGCGTGAATGAAAAAGGGGTTTAACCTTAAAGGGTGATTAGGGGCCCCATTAGTGGGGGCCTTTCTATTTCAAGCCAGCGCCGCGGCTTAGCGAGAAGGAGGCTCCCAAATGTTTGCTCGGCGTGGCTGCACAGTGGGCCAGAAGAATAGTAGAGGCGGCCGAAACTCTAGACGCGTTTTGAGCTCCAGAGTCGCTAAACAGGCCTCGAACGGAACGTGTGACCCCACCAATGGATTCCTCGTCCGGAGAGCAATCTATTGGTGAGGTCACACGTTCAGTTCGAGTCCTGCTTAGCGACTCTGGAGCTCAAAACGCGCCTAGAGTTTTGGCCGCCTCCTCCAGCGGTCTTCTGGCCCACTGATGGCTTGCCCACCTTCCATCAATCGGTTACTCGAAAACAACAGAAAGCAGAAGGTTGGCAGCGTTGCCGCAGCGTAGCCAACCCCGTAATTGGCAGCACTGTAGGGGCGCCTTGATAAGGGAGTGATAAGAGGCACCGCCCCTCAACAAGTGCCGCTCTGCGCCGTCTCGCTCGCACTCATTACGACTCAAGAAGGCGGCGGAGCGAGCGCGCCAGATGGGGTGAAGTTTGAAAATGCCATTTGGCAAAACGCAGTGCCTCCACTATAAAGGGGCCGACTCTTTCGCCGGATTCATTAACACGCACAAAAGGGGTGAGTAACTAGGGAGGCAGAGAGAGAGGGAGAGAGCGTAATTGATTTAGTGTACGGCTGGAATATGTTTTGCGCGACTGTACACGAAGTTCGAGTTTCGAGATCTCGCGAAATATACTCACGAGTTGTGACGCTTTACGAAAATAGAACAAACAACCAAACGGTGCCGGTGCAGTTCGGTAGGCAAACAATTTGGAATCATTATTGAGGTTGGTGACGCCCCCCGCGATGTCGCAGCGCGTGTTCGCTCATTATCGTTCGGTGACGCCCCCCGCCAAGCTCGAAAGCTCCTTCGATCATTATCGTCCTTGTTTGGTGACGCCCCCCGCGATGTCGCAGCGCGTGTTCGCTCATTATCGTTCGGTGACGCCCCCCGCCAAGCTCGAAAGCTCCTTCGATCATTATCGTCCTCGTTTGGTGACGCCCCCCGCGATGTCGCAGCGCGTGTTCGCTCATTATCGTTCGGTGACGCCCCCCGCCAAGCTCGAAAGCTCCTTCGATCATTATCGTCCTCGTTTGGTGACGCCCCCCGCGATGGCGCAACGCGTGCTACTGATTGCTGGACGACGCGGCAACCACGCTGTGAGGGCTGCCGTGCCGTGCCGTGCCGTGCCACGCCGCGCCCTCCCTTCCCTCCCCGCGACGCTCTGCCATGCCCTGCCATGCTCTGCCACCCCGTCTGGAGGGATGTGGGGCTGTAGCACTGGCACAGTGTCGTTTTTCACACACTGCCACCGCGATCAGGAGGGAGAGAGACAGAGCGGCGAGACTCCTGAACTTTATTGGAACCATTTATAACGCTAGATGAAAGCTACTTGAGCTGTCTCTACGGGGGTACTCAGCCACCTATCGCCCCCCCCCCCTTTTCCACCGCCCTGCCCATCATAGTTGGCCACCTTTGTTTGCTGGCCGATCCATCCGGATCGCCAATATGAAGCGGAATTGAAAATACCCCGGGCCGGCGCGGCCGCGTGGCCCTCGGCGTGGCCCCACTTCAATAATTGAAACTCTGGCCACTGCGACGAATGCAAACAAAATCCGCGCGCCGCACTATGTAGCGCCGCTCTATTTGGACTGCGCCGAGCACGCACTGTGGATTAGCCGCCCTCATCGGCAAAGGACGGGCAGGCGATAGGGTTGCCAACCTCAGCCTGCCTACGAGGCAACCTTCCGAGAGCAAAGCCAAGGCGTTGCCTGGTGGCCAGGCTGAGGTTGGCAACCCTATCGTGCAGTCGCTGAGGCGCACGCGCTGGGCGTCGGAGTGCGTCAACGTCTCCGAGGCGGCGACGCGGCCGAAGCGCTGCTAGAAGTGGGTGGGTGGTGGACTGCCGTCTTGAGCCGCCGCGCCCCGCGGGCTCCACTGGACGGGCCGATTTCGATTGCCGTCGTCGCGCTGTCTCTCTCGCACGCGTGGCGCGACCTGTTGGCGTGCGAGAGAGACGGCCACAGTGAGGAATCGGGGTGCAGGACCTCGGGAACGGCCAAGCCTTGGCGCGGAACGCGGGCTCGGTTCTAAGTCGGTTCTCAGCGACGGCGGGCGGCCGACGCCGTGCCCCAGCCTTCAATTCCCCGGCCTCCACGCTGCACTGCGTGTCGCACTCACCTCTGCCACTGCGCCCCACGAATCGCAGGTCGTTGAACTTGGCCACCTGGTTCTTCATGACGGACTGGCAGTTGCGCAGCTCGCCGCAGAAGTTCTCGTCGTTGCCGGCCTTGACCGTGACGGGGGTGCCGTCGGGGACGTCGTCCAGGGCCACCACCTTGAAGGCCATGGGCAGGGACTTGTTGGAGCGCCAGTGCGTGGGCAGGGCCGAGCACAGCACGGCGGGGCTGCCCGTCTGCACCAGCTCGCCGTGGTACTCCTGGAGGGCCTCGTGCAGGCCGGAGTAGAAGTCCGGCACCTGCATGCCGTTGGCGCCGTTGGCGGCGTCCTGGGCCGGCGGGGACGCGGACGCCGTCGACGACGGCGCCGTGGTGGTGGCCGCCATGGCGGGCGCCTCGCTGCTGCTGCTACTGCTGCTGCGCGCCTCGTAGCTCGACACCACCTCCTTGTTGTTGTTGTTGTTGAGGTGCGGCAGACTCGCCCGGCGAATGTCGTACACTAAATCCCCGGGCGGCGGTAGATGCATTTGGGACACTGGTTTTGAGGCTCCGCTCAGAGCATATCACGGGAAACACGTTCACACACACAGCACTAACACACGGACACACGCCGGACTCGCGGCACTGCAGGCCGCGCCGCGCAGCGTGCCTGGCCTCGTCGATGGTCGCAGACGAACTGAACTGGACGAGGACGACAACACGGACGGGCGGCCGTCCTGCCGCCGAGGTCCTGCGGGGCGGCGCGGGGCGGCGCGGGGCTGCGGCGACCGAGCGGTCGGATCGGCCGGCCTGGAGGAGGACCGCTTCGCTGTGCTTCGCTTCGGCTGCTCTCGGCTGCCCAGGCTACCCCAACCCCGAAGACTTGCTCAATGCCGGCCAGCCCAGCCAGGCTCGACGCCACGCCACCAGGCCACATGCAGGAGTGTCGGCTGCGCGCCGCGCCGCGGTGGTGGTGGTGGTGGTGGTGGCAGCGGCGGCGGCAGCGCCGGATTTTTCTCCCCACCGCCCCTGCCCCTTCCCCCACCACCGCCACCACCGCCCCGCTTCTCCTATTTTTCCCCACCACTCTGACTTACCACAGAGCCACAGCAAAAGCTCCACCTCCCTCAGTCCCCCACCACCGTGTCTTTCGCTTTTTCAGCGCTGTCTCTGTCGCTCCGCCGCGCTGCGCCGCCGCGCCGCCAGCGCCGTCGCGGCGCGCTCTCTCGCACTCCCACAACGCCTCTCTTTTCTACTGTTGTTGGTTTGGCCTCCGTCTCCGCCCGCTCCGCCCCCGCCGCGCCCCGCCCGTCGGGCCTGGGGGTGGGGCGGGGCCGCCCCACCACGCCGCCGAATGTCACCGACTGTCTCCCGAGCGTCGCGGCGTCCCCGGCGTCGCGGTGGGCGTCGGTGCGGTGCCGGCGTGCTGCGACGCCCGCGGCGGCCCGCGCGGCCAAGGAGGCCCGCAAGCAACGCCTAGTCCTGTCTCGCTCGCACCCGCAGCCCCGCGGCGCAATCGCTTGGCACGCCCCGCGAGAGCGAGAGAGACAGCGACAGAGTGGAGGCGGCCGAGTGAATGGCCATTCGCAACGACTGCCTTACAGGAGCTGACCCTTTCTGAGCTCTGGATGGGCATTGAGTGGACTCCAGCAGACTCGGGTCGCTTTCGTCGCTCTGTCTCTCTCGCACCCCTAGGGCACGCCTAGAGACCCTCCCGTCAGAGATGCGCAAGCCAGCGCTTGGTAGTCCCGTGTAGTCAAAGGCACCCTGAGTCAGGCTAGCGGGCGACCGCCGTATACCTGCTGTGCCGCACCAGATGCTGACCTGCGTAGCCTCGCGCGGGGCGAATTCGGGCTTCCCGCTCCGCATGGGACTACCAATCGTCTGTGATTGGCTGAGAGGGCCCCCCCTTGCGCATCTCTGACGGGAGGGTCTCTAGGCACGCCCCATGAGTGCGAGAGAGGCAGAGCGACGTCTGACTGTCAGGCCAGGAGAACGAGGAGTGCCTGCTGGGTAGGCAACCCAACGCACACCCGCTTCACCGTCAAATGCAGCATGAAAACAAAGACGCCACTTCCAGCTGATCCACGAGGATAACCGGTGACAAACTCGCCCACGTGTTCGAGGGCAAAACGTGCAAAAGAAGCAGTGGCGCATCATCTCGTCGCGCTGACCGCTGCAGAGTCTCTTTCGATGGAAAAACAACAACAAACAAAAAGAAAACGTCGCTCCTGCTGGTGCTTTTAATTAATGTCTTCATTTTCGTCGCTAGTGTGTGTGCGCGCGCGCGCGTGTGTATGGGTGTGCGTGTGTGTGTGCGTGTGTGTGGATTTTTACCCGACGGCCCAATCCGGGGTGTGATTTACACCGACCCTGAGCTGGGTGTCGGCTTGGCCGCGCGCTGCCGTCTGTTATTCGGCCACCACTTTGTTATTTACGTGTGTCCTCGCCGATGGTGACTGGCTCGGACGCTTTCTACCCCCACCCCTTGTGTGTGTGTGTGTGTGTGTGTGTGTGTGTGTTCGTACTTGTGTGTGTGCGCCACTGTGGCGCTCACAGCCGCTCTCGAATTTGGCAGACGATTTGTTGTTTCAATCTGCGGTCGGCTCGTTTTGGACCGGAGCGGCACGGACAGGCCCACGGGGGTCAAATGCACCACCCGCCGCATCGCACACTAGGAAAAAAAGGATCTTAAAAAAGAGAACACATCCAGCTTCAACAACAATTTAGTTTAGATGACATTTAAAAAAAATAATTGGGCAGCATTTTTTTTAGCCCTTAGAAAGAAAATACTTGTTTATTTACAAAGCAATTTCCTTCTAAAACAAATTTTAAAGTGTTTTTTTTTTTGTGAGAAAATAAACACGAACTGCGCGATGTGAATCCCTCACGGTGTTGCTTTGCTTGCGTTCCCCGTGGCGCGAAATTCAAACCACGCGGGGAGTCACCTGTGCAGTCTGCACTGCCGTGCAAATAGACGGACACCCTCGGCGTCGGGCGGGGCGGGTAGGGATGGGGCGGGGTGGGGCGGGGCGGGGAGGAAGGCGCCGACACGCTAACGCGAACCTGCTTAGGGAGCCCCCGCCGCCCCCGCGCCGCCCCCGCCGCCCCCGGGGCCCTTGGGGGTGGTCGTGAGTCAACTTTCCGCAGCGAGACAAACCCAGCGCAGCCACGCCGCGACGGTGTTTGCGCTCAAGGGCGGACCTCGCGTGACGTGGCGTGACGAAGGCGTGACGGACACGGCGCCTCCTCCGTCACGGACGCGTCACGAGCGCGTCACGGGTGGTGCACCTCCCCTCAACGCGCCTTCTGGTGGGTCATCATCACACCACCGTGCAGTGGAGTAGTATGGGTGGGTCACACTGACGGACCGCCGACTTTAGGGCCCCAATTTGACGGAACCTAACCTAACCTGATCACTCACAATGAAGCCGGGGATCACAATTCCTTCCCCGCTCCTTCCTGGAAAGGACAAAAACGCAATAAAAATATTTAACTCTCAACAACCTTGTTTCAAACTTCACGAAATATATTTATTAACAATTCTACACTTAGCATAATAAGCAACTTTCTTTTGTCTCTTTAATTCGATAAAAATGTTTCAGTGTTTCTCAGACATTATCAGGCATTGTTTTTTCGAAATTTTATTGCAATTTTCTGACTTATAAAATCGTGCGAGGAAAGTGACCCCGGTTTTCGGCCAATCTTAGCGTGCTGCCCGGTAGCTGGGCGACTCTATCGGACGCGCGCTGTGGACAGGCGCCGTGTTTGCCAGACATGCTCTACACACACACACGTTGACACCGTTGACACCCGATGGCCAGATCCCTGCAGCCAGCACGCTTGTTTACGGCCACGGCCAAACTGCCCCCTGCGATACCTCCAGTGGAGAGGGAGAGAGACAGAGAGAGCGAGAGAGAGAGAGAGAGGTGAGGGCCCCGCGGGCAGCCATAACGCCTCGTTGGACCCCCGCAATAAAAGACAATCAGCCACTTAGAGGGCACGCGCGACAGAACGACCCCCCCCCCCCCACCACCACCACCACCACCACCGTGCAGCGTGGCAAGCCTTTCGCCCGCACAGTGCCCGCTCGGAATAGCCGGCACAAGCGGGCAAAGATCGCTCTCCCTCTCTCTCTCTCTCTCTCTCTCTCTCTCTCTTAGGGATGCAAAAATACCGGTAAGATTCAAAGTTACGTAAATTACGGTAAAATACGGTATTTTACCGTATTATACGGTAAAATTGGGTAAAATTGATTTTTCTTGACTTAAAGGGGTAACTGTGGTTCTTATTGTGAAAAAGGGGGAAAAGAGGTTCATTTGGGTAAGGGTGTATCATTAACTATCGGCCGCATCATTCCAAACATGGTTGCAAACCATCGTGACTCAAGGATAATGTCGCATATTTGAAATAGACAAGGACGAAAGACCCTAAGGGTCAAAAATATGAACTATTCTCCCACTAGACCCTCCCAAATTAATTTTGAATCTCACTGCTTTTCACTTATTCCTACTGGGCTGGATTAAGAAATGCGTAGAGCAGCAAAGTTAACAGCCCAAATATACTTAAGAATTAACAGAACGGGCGCCGTTTTCCTCGTTATCCAAGTAAGTTGTCTCAATTCCATGAAAAAAACTTTTTTCCTTAAAGGCTGCAAGGTGTCCAAGAACCATACCAATGTTCCATTACACTTTTCAGCTCAAATCAGGGCATAATGTAACGGGCAGTTGTGGCTTGTTTGGGCAGTTCTTAATCTCAATTTGGCAGTTGTTAACGAAAAAGTGGAATTCACACATCCAAGAGATGGTTTAGGAACTATAAGGCTTGCCACATCTCCTCGCCGCACAGCCCCGAATTGCAGCCGTGATTGCCCCATTGTCCCCCCCCCCCCCCCCCCAGGTCGCCCGGATTTGGGCAGTTGTAAAAATTTCTTACATTATGCCCTGGCTCAAATGTCTAACAAATATGTACCCCTAGATTTACCTCTTTTCAATTTTAAGTTAGTTAAAATTATATGAACCTTGGCAACAAAGAAAGGTTTTTGATTTGCCTTACGGAGATTTAGGTCGCGTAAATGGATTTTGATTTCCACAAGTTTTGCAAAAGAAGAGAACATTAACTTCACGTTAATTTTAAGTGGCTAGACGTCTTACACGTACACGGGGTGGCACGAGGGGCAGATACAAACCAAGAGTTCAAAAGAAGCACTATTTTCAGTCCGTACGTCCTGTATAATCGTATGGAAGCTAAAGAAGTTCAAATAAGTCAATATTTCAAAATTACCGAAAAATACCAATTTTACCGGGGTCTCCGTAAAATACGGTATTTTACCGTATTTTACCGCTCTTTACCGGTAATATTACCGGCCTTTACATCCCTACTCTCTCTCTCTCTCTCTCTCTCTCTCTCCCCCAGGCACTCCAACCCGACCGGGAAGGGGTGAGGCATAGCATTAATCCCCAGGGACTCCATCCCCGTGCGCCTTATTGCGCCAGATTTCACAAATCCATATTTTACGGCTGTCGTTATCCGAAAGGTGAGCCGCGTACGTACAGTGTACACCGCACGAGGAGCAAGGCGCTGTGCGTTGTGTATGTACATGGAATTAGAGAAAATGTGTACCAACGTGTGCGGAACGACGCAAGCCAAAAATAAAACAATATGCGTGCGCGTGGGCCACGGTCAGAGTACATTCCAAGCAGCGTTACACTAAAGTTCGCCACGCATTCTCTGCCTCCCGCTCTCTCTCTCTCTCTCTCTCTCTCTCTCTCTCTCTCTCTCTCTCTCTCTCTCTCTCTCTCTCTCTCTCTCTCTCTCTCGCTCTCTCTCGGGGGCATGCACACGGTCAGCCCGTAAGTTGAAATTATAATCCACAAATTAGTGGTCCAATCCCGGCGTGGTTTACATTTCATCCCGACCGAGCACGG